CCCCTCCCTTGTGGGTGAGGGGGGCGGCGGGAGGAGGAGGAGCAGCGACGATGGCGGGGTGAGCGCGGGGAGTGATGGGCGAAGGGGGAGCGGCGGCGGGGATGCCGAAGAAAAGGTGAGGAGAGTGGCGGCTGAAAAGATTTTGGTTTGCGGGGTCTTACGGCGGGAGGATTTCAGAATTGTCGTTGTTGATGTTGGTGGTTTTGATCATGGTGGTGGTGGTGGTGGTGGTCGCTGGTATTGTTTTGTTTTCCAGGAAGCATGCGGCGTACGGGAAGCTGGCACCGTGGGATGCCGCAACTAGACTCCCGCACCGGTTTTACCCACAACAAAGCTCTAGTCCGCGCGGCAACGAGTTTTAGGCGGCAGGAAGACAAGGAGCGGGACCCGCCTGAAATGGACCTGCCATATCAAACTCCGCCTTGGTGGCGGTTCCTCTGGCCCCTTGAAGGCGTGGGTGGTTGACTGCTTGTAGCGTTCCATGGTACGTTCCGTGGTGCGGGTCCCCGCTCATGCCGTGTCTGCGTCGCAAGATTCTCATCACGTCGTCCTTGCTCGTCGTTGCCGGATTGGATTGGCTTGGCGTGGAACCACACAGGCCTCTGCCAAGCAGGAGATGGAGCAGATAGGCCAGGCCGCGAAGGCCATGGGGGTTCCGCAGAGTAGGCGGCTTTCGTCCAGGGCGGGGGGGGGGGGCAGGGCGGAGGCTAAAAGCAGGAGCAACAGCCTAGGGACAGGTATATAACCGGGGCCATGTTGATGCGGGAACGGGATTCCAAGTTGATGCGGGGATGGAAATTCATGTTGATGCGGAAATGGATAGTGATGGTAGCGGCATCCGTTTCCTTGTGGGATACCATAACTGGTAAGGATATCCTAGATAGTGGTTCCAAATGGTGGGTGCGCTAGGTCGTCGGCCCGTACCAGATACAAGCAGGGGAGGCGGCGATCGGCTGGTAGGACTCTACTTTTCGAACGCCACGTGCTTGGCTCGCCGGATGACAAAAACTAACCGATTCTGTAGTCACCGTTGGTTCCCGTGCAAAATCCGGCATTTTTTGTTTTTCTTCGCGAAAATTTGGCGTATGCGTAGTGTGGCATGGCCTAAAATGCTCAACTGGTATACACCCATACTCTTCTCGTTTTTGTGTTGGGGTTGTGCAGGAGGGCTGGGAGATGACCCCACCGCGGCTGGGGGGCGCGACTTGACCGCTGAAATCGAAGCATGCACGGGCGAGGTGAGCAAGTAGCCCATTCCCCCTGACGAAGCGGGGTTTCTTCCATTCTTGATGGACCCGACCGAACGTACTCGTGTGTATAGCCAGCTAAAAGGGTGCTCGAGTATGATCACAACTGACAGCATCCGTCGCAGGCGTGGCCTTACCCTCAAGAAAAAGTAAAAGGTTCTGCCACCTGTGGCTAAATATGTGCGGACCACGCTCACTCCGGTGCTCTCTATGCTCTTTTCCTTACGGGCGTCGTGGACTTACCGGCGATTGATTGATTGTTGTTGTTGTTTGTTGTTTCGTCGCAGATCGCCGTGACCCGTCAGATGCTGGAGCCAATCATCAGTCGGCCACGGCTAAGCGACAAGCTTCTCAACATGCCTCCCTTTCGTTTTCTGCACGACATCGTCTCCGAGGTCACGAGACAGGTGACGAGATGGGTACGGGGGTGGGGGGTGGGGAGAGGTTGATCGGCAGCATGTGTTTGTGGAACAAACAACAGCAACAGCAGCCGCAGCAACAAGGAAGCTGGATTGAAAAATGTTGCCCCTTCCTCGGTAGATTTTGACGCCTTCGTACCGTTTCGCCCTACACAGCTACACACGTACGTACGTACGTACGTACGTACGACGTGATTTTCGTGATTGACTGATGTTGGGGTCCTTGGCATTCGAAGCGAGCACAGCACTGCCCCGCAAAAGAAGACACACACTATGCACACGCTGAATAGATCAACCCGCAGGATGAGGGCCCTCTTTCTTCGAAGGTGTTTCGCTCACGTCGTTCACCGAACTATCTAGGTTGGTTTGCTTATAGAGGAAAGCGTTTGGTTTGGTGCATGGCGGATGGTGGATGGCGGATGGTGCATGTTGCATGTTGCATAATGCGGTGGGACGGCACAGACAAGGCGAATGCCCGCATTTGATTGAAAATGCTGTCCACGGTAGTCAAGTGCATTGGCAGGATAGACGGTACGGTGCCCTTTCTGTTGTCTATCGATGCACTTGGCCGTTCCGGCTACATTTACGTATCTTTGCAGTAACTCCCTTTCCTCCCTACCCACGGTACGCCCCACGGTACGTGCCACTCCATAATAACCCGGGAATAAACGGTATTTTCGGAAAATTTAGGAAATTGACCATAAGAACAGGGTGTCGGTGAAGAATCGTACGCTGTTTCGGCTAGGGTATGGAGAAAAATTCTGTCCTACCCATCGGTTTGTCTCTCCCCTCGTCGATCGAAATAGCTCGTCGCATGTTTGTCGACCTACAATCAACCAATCTGGTTGTCCTCTGAATGTTACTTTTATCTTCGCTGTCTGCTTCCTGTTTGTTGCCATTTTTTTGTGGTCTCGCAGTGTGTCATTTTCTCACGCGGTCTCTTCCTTCTGTCACCATTCTGTTTGTTCGCTGCATGTGTTGCTCGTCTGTAAGACGGGTTTTGGTCAAGGGCTGTACACCGGAGATGAGATGGACTCCAGTCTCGTCAAAGCAAAGCCTGCCAAGGTGCGCGAACGCTCTGCTGACGGTGTTGGTGATGTTGTTGTCGTGGTTGGTGGCGTGTGCCTTGGTTGCTACTGTTTTCGTTGTCGTAGCCTGAGACGTTCCCGCTGATACTCTTGTTGATCTTATCGTTGCCGTCGATCCACTCCTCGTACTACATACATACGTACGATGCCTTCCTACATGAGGATTTTATCGTGCGGTCACGTACGTACGCATATGTAGGACAGTTGCTGTTCATTGTTCAGTTTGTTTTGGAGTGAAACCATGCCCGAGCTTGAGGGGACGCCAACCCGTGGCCGCCGCGCCCCTCCCCCTAGATGGCGTATCTGGACAAGCTGATAATGTTGGTGGGGAACTCCCTCAACACCTTGGTGGACGCGAGACCGGCCAAGATCGTGGCGGGGCTTGAGGCCGGCAACACGAACAGGATGCTGCAGCTGCTGGCACTAGCGGCGGTGGAAAAACCCGACTCTTCGAGGTACATATGTGTTTTTTTTGTGTCGAGAAAATGAGAAGACGGTTGGAGTAGCGGTGCAACGAATATACAATCGAACCGTCAGAATGGACAAAGAAGGAATAGCAAATAAGAAATGGATCGGAGGCCCTCTGTGCGACTTGTTGTAGCCGATGACAAAGAATCGAATGAAGTAGTTTTTTGTCATTCGCGATGCAATGGTCTGCAGAAGATTTTCGGGGACTGGTGGGGCTGACCGTACAAAACTATGGTTGACTCAGTTGTACATGTTACATGTGGTACCGGTATGCGTTTGGAGAATCCGTTGGATAGTTCTTTTTCATCGAAGCCAGCTCGCTCACCTCCGAAACATGCCATGCTCGAAACCTCTTTGGAAGGCGGTCAACTCCAGCGGCGTTCTCTCACACGCAAGATGTTCGGTTTCATGGCTTGGCTGGAAACATGAGTGAATGATCTCTACAGCGTGGTGTGTGTGAAATGCACGCATCCGCGCAGACGTGCCCGCCTCCAACCAAACACCGTTCGCTCGGTGCCGAAAAACGTTGGCATCGATCTGTCTTCGACAGATGCCCCGTCCCCCCCCCCTCATCAGGCAGCCCACATGGTCTAGTGGTATGATTCGACATTCGGGTTGTCGAGGTCCGGAGTTCGAATCTCCGTGTGGGCCGATTTTTTCACCCCCCCTCGGTGTTTGCCGTCGGGGTTGGGTTTTCGTCGCTCGGCAACGACGTTGTAAAACAAGCTAATAAATAACTTCGTGAGCTCGGCAACCAGGTTGCCGCTTTTTTTTTTGCCTCTGTTTTTTTTTTGGCGGTAGTCATGATGGTGGTCGAGTAGATCATGTTGTGCGGGGTTGAGAACCCTCACTCCGCGCACGGGGGATGATCGCACCATGTTGCGTTTAATTGGTCAAGCACCCTCGAGGCAGTCACACAGTGCTTATAACTGTCTCTGGAAGTGAAAGCACCAGAAAATAAATTAAGTCATACGTAGCTGTCATCCGGACGCAAGGAAGGAAGCACAAGATGCCGAACACCCTTAGCAGGATGCAGCTCACCCTTCATGCGACTCGCCAAATACCTCACGGCGCTTCGCGCTTGGTGATGTGAGAGCCTGGTCCAGTGAGAACCCGGCGTGCTCCGTCCCGGCTTTGTAGGGATGCGAGGTCAATGGTCAAACGACTACGGCATACACGACTATGAGTACCCCCCCCCCCCCCCCCCCCCCGGGTGTTCAAACCCCCCGTGGGTTCCTACTCTGTGAGGGGAATCCTGGCTTTTAGGTATGTGTCTGGGTCTTATAAACCACTGGGTAGCTCTCATGACAACCTTTAAGATTACGTGGCTGCCTCAGGCTCCTCCACGCAAACACACAAACCCGACTCGAGGAGGCACACAACAGCCAGCGGTACCGGTCTTGTGCAAGCTCGACGACTCTAGCGCTACAGCAGCTTCCCTATTCCTGCGGACGCCCAGCCTAAGCAGTAACACCTCCGGAGATTCTGTAGTAGTAGATCATTCACTCGCTAACCAGTGCAGCGATGTTGACGGTTCTAACGATTCTAAGGGCCGTGGAGCTTGTCCTGGACACGACTCCCGTGAAGCGAAGGAGTTCCAGCAGTAGCGGAGGGGTTTCTGCGGCAACTGCGGCTGCTACTGCTGCTGCTGCCGCTACGGGCAGGTAAAATCTGCTTGACGTTTGGCAGATAAAGTACGATATAGTTGGGTGGGCGAATAAGGGTGTGAGATACCGGGCTTAACCCCCCCCTGGCAGCTAGAGAGCTCAAAAACCATCGAGGGAGAGAGAGGGAGGGACGATACCGATTTCAGCACGAGAGCATTTAGCATGACAGCTTTCGCTTTCGAAGCCTTTCTTCTCATTGCTCGGATCCCCCTTCGAGAATGGTAGAAGCGCTGCCAATACGGGGTTGGTTGGAGTTCTTGTTTCCGCTGATTGTTACCAAGTGTTTTTCGCTAGCCTGACCTCCTTGGGGCCGCGGCTGTGTGGTTCAGCCTGAATCCCACCCACGCCTCTTCCCACAGAAGCAAACGTCCCCCTCCGGACATTTGGTTGTCCCCCCCCCCCCCCCCCCCCATCCCCTTGTGGTATGCTGACGCAAATGCTTCTGTGATGACTGCCTCGTGCAGAGAACACGAGCGACCACTACAACAACAACAGCAACAGCCCCACCGTTCATCATCGGCCGCGTCCGATGCGAACACGGCGGCAGCGGCAGCGGCAGCAGCAGCGGCAGCGGCAGCGGCAGCCCCTGCGGCGGAGAGAGATGGTTCTCGAGGGTCTTCAGCAGGCGAGGCCAAGGGCGGGGATGGTGAGTTTGTATCCCCGGGGGTGATGATCCGTGTGTGTGGCCGTCATTTTGGACATATTCATTTCTAACGAGGCTCAATGCCTTACTATGTCTCAACCGAGAAGCACAGGTTGTTAATTTTTACGCTGTCGTCTACGGATGAATTCACTATAATACCTAGTACTTATGCCATACAATACTTGTTGTTATTAGAAATCCTGTGCGTTTTCTGATGAGCAGGCCGGGGCTTTTTTTGTTGACAGCAACAACAACAACAACAACAACAACAACAACAACAACAACAATCCTTTTCGTGTTTTTTTTTCTTTTTTCAGGGGGCAGAGGTGGACAGCAAGAGGCCGCCGAGGAGAAAGGTGGGGGTGGAGGTGGAGGCGACGAGGACATGGGAGGGGCAGGGGCGGCGGCGGACGCGCCGCGCTCCATGCGCCCAAGGACGGCTCGAAGGTATCTATAGTATCTACGGTATCTATCTACGGTGGTACCTAAGCAATCTTCAATGCCGATTATCACCCATGAGCAACTAGTCTCTGAGATCTCGGGGTAGTGCTCTGCTACCCCCCCCTCGGTGAGCATCACACTTTCATGTTTGTCACGTGAAAAAATGAGCTGACTTGTTGGTTAAACAAAGCACGCGCGAGGCATAGCGTCATAGCACCCGACTTGATGCAGCCAACGTCCTCGCCGCCTTCTACCGGCAGAGGCAAATATTCCCCTCTCTCTCTGGCCCTCGCCAAAGGGGCCTTGTGTTGAAATAAACGCTGCATACCTCGTTCTGTTGGTGCTGAAGAGGCACGTTTCGTAGGTTCCAGGTGGTGTCAAGCGAGGGTCGCCCCCCTCCCCCACAAAATGCCGATATGAAAGGGGCAATATAAAGACAAGCGAAAGGTCACTTCGTCCAAGTGCAGAGCGCTGGAAACAGGAGGAAAACCCCACAGAGCACGCCACGTACCACCCTGTCTCTCCTCTTTTTTTGCTACCCGAACTTATTCTTTTGGGATTCATACTCATACTTCGGTTCGTTCGCGGAACCGTACATAGCAGGGGGTAGTGCTGCAGGCACTCCGTGAACGTCAGGTAAACTCGTTTTATGGAGGTTTCGACGTTTCGAAGCCGGTTCCTCAAGGGGTCGGGGTATCGAACACGATTTACGCTTCGTTGGCGAGTTCCTGGCTTGAGGGTAGAGGTTGCCACCCACCCACTTTCAACCGACAACCCAACAACAACAACAACAACAACCCCCATCTTCTTCTTTTTTTTCCCGACGAATCATCGGTGGCTTTGCTCAGACGCCCCCCGACCTTGAAGGACAACACGAAGCAGTTTGCGGACCAAGGTCGAGCACAGGTGCCCGATGAAGCCCTGGCGGCCCCCAAGAAGGCCAGCATCAACATCATCATGGACGGAGACAGCGACCAGGTGTGTGGCACATGTCTTAAGTGTAAGCATCGACCGCGCTAGCCGGCTGGGCACTGAGCATACGTCAGTCTCAAGTTCATGGTGTGTGTTGGTCCCATTTTCTGGCCCCAGCGTACTTCAAATTTCGGTGAACATGTAATTGATGTATCGGTTGGGGTCGAAAAAATGGATAGGGAAAGATGGATCTTGTCGAGAGAGAGAGAGAGAGAGAGAGAGAGAGAGAGAGAGAGAGAGAGAGAGAGAGAGAGAGAGAGAGAGAGAGACACACACACACAGAGAGAGATAGCAGTAGAGAGAAATTTCCTTGCACGTGTCGGTCGGTTTTCGATAGCATCCACCCTCTTGCCTGTGAAGCACTCGAGTTGAGAACATCGATTGGACACAAGTCAGTTGGTTTGCCGGCACTTTTACTGTACATACCCACCGGTTTGGTTTGACCGTGACACGACTCAACATATACAGTAGTCATTGCGGGTTTCCTTTGAAGTTAAGAAGGGTTAAGAAGGGTTAAGAAGGACTTCGTTTTCGTAGTTGGAGCACGGGTACCTGAGTGCTGCAGTGCCCGAAAACGCGTGCGCAACAGAAAATTACACGCTCGATGACCATCCCCGCACCCAGCATTTCTGATCAGCTGCAGCGCATGTACATGAGAGCAACCGAAGCACGAGCCGTCCCATTACAACGAACTCCACGGTACAAAATGATACGGTAGACTGTCTCCATAACTAAAAACGGATGAACTGCGTGCTTCACAAGGGATGGATGACCAAACGTCCAACTCCTACGGCTAGCATCAACCCCCCCCTCCCCCCCCCCCCCCTCCACATGTGTGATGCCCTCTGCTTGCATTCATTGCACCCCCCTCAGGAAAGCGACGATGAGGACGTCGGCGACGCCGCTCGTGCGGCAGGAGCGGGGGCTGGAGAGCGACCGGGGGGGGGCGCCGCGGGTGCGAAGGGAGACGGGGTGGGCCACACGGCAATGGTAGCGGACATCCTGAAGGAGAAGGAGAAGGCGGAGATGCGAGCCAAGGAGGCTGACGCGGAGTCTAAGGGAAGAGGGGACGGCCAGGTGAGAGAAAGGGCGGTGTGTTTCCCCCATTCGTTGTGTTGACTTTCCCCTTTTTGTGTTGACTTCCCCCCGACGTTGTGTTGACTTCGCGTGTCGTGGCAGATGGTGCCGGTGTGAAATGCCTTGAGTGCTTGTGGATTCGTCACGTGGCAGGTGTCCATTTTTGTTTGCGGCACTGCTGCCAACGGGTTACTTACGTAGACGCTCGATCTTCGGAATTGTTACAATGGGAAAGAGTTGTAGTCTACCGCCCGAAAATCGTCGCGGTATTGTTTTTTTCGAGGCCGCGAAAGGCTGGCGGTAGTGGAGCGTGCCAGGTGGCCTCAATGAGTACTACGGGAGTGTGGCTGACGGTCTGATTTCCCACGATACATGTGAAGTGACACCACGGTTTGCGAGTGGTGCCACACCAACACATTTTTTTTTGTTTTTCCGGTTTCCACTTGCGCGCCCATAGCCAGGCACCAACATCAACACATGTGCCATTGAATGCATTTGAGGTCCGCCATGTGTACTGCTTCTATGCACCCTACCCTTATGTTTATTATCCTAGCCGTGTCCAAGCCCCAATGGACGGCAGGGGCGTCCGCCCTGCTCGCACCTGCAGCGTCATCGCAAACGCCTCCTTGCATTCGCCGTGGGTACGCGAACATGCAGCATCCAAACAAGCACTCGCATGCTTGAGTTCCTCTCGTTCAGTTCTGTCCCCTCTAGTAGTATAGTTTTTTTGCAAAATGGCACTCCTCTTCCCCCCGGTGTTTTCAGGAGGCGAAGGGGTCTGCAGAAGGAGGAGGCGGTGGGATCAGAATGGGCCGCCTCGGGGGTGTCGGACGGCGTAACTCCGGGAGCTTGTCGTCAACGGCTGCGACTGCTGCGACTGCTGCGGGCGGGGGGTCCAAGCTCGCTGGCGGGGGTGGCGGTGGTAGTGGGTACGGAGACGCGGATGTTGCCAAGTTGAAGGACGCCATACAGACGCTCTGCCAGAGCACCCACCCACTCGGTGAGCACATTCGATTCACAGGGGCTTGTGTGAGTGTCTTCTTCTGTGTGTGACGTGAGACGGTTGCCGTCGTGCCCAATCTGATTGCTTCGCCGTTGCTGTTCGATCTTCGGGGCTACTGAATGTAATAACCGTGCAGGCAAGTGCATGGACTTCGTCCACGAGGACCTGTCCCTCATGTCTCAGGAGATGGATCGCTGGAGAGCTCTGCACAAGGTCAAGGTAGGCTAAATCAACTCAATCATCAACTCAAGCAGGAAAAAAAGCCATCCAGGATGATTCAAATATCCTGCTTGTTTCTCTCTCTCGCCCTCTCATTGTCGGCGCTCGACCAACACAACACAGTACCTCTTGCACCCCTCACCAGTGTCAAGGTTTTGCAAAGTGTGCAACCTCCCCAACATCTGGGCGGGTTGCGGGTACCCCTAAGCCTATTTCTTGTCAACTAGCAACCAGATAGATCGGAGAATAAATTGCTCGCTAACAGGGGGTGGGGGGGTGGAGATCACCTCAGAAAAGTCACCTAGCTAATGTATATCGAGGACGATTCCTTCTTTCACAACCGATCTCTCTTCTTTCATGGCCGATCTCTCTTCTTCCACGACCGATCCCCTCTTTCATGAGCGATACCCTCGTTCACAATCGATCCCCCTTCTTTCACAACCGACACCCTCGTTGCTGTGAAGGAAAAGTTGGGTGCCGCCCCTGTGTTATTCTTTTTCTGGCCTCCGAGGCTCTCCTAACGGTGCGAGTCTCCTTTTGTTACTCGATGTTTTTGGTCGGGTTTGCGCGGGCCTGCACCGTGGTATTGCAACAGGCGGATGCTCTTGAGTCCGAACGCGCAGCAACGGAGGCGTTCCTGCAGCCCTTGCAGTCACAGCTCAGAGATCTCGAGGATCAGGTGAGAGCGATGATGCATGTACAGGGATCCTACAGGTGAGAACGATCATGCATGTACAGGGATCCTACAGGTGAGAACGATGATGCATATACAGGGATCCTACAGGGATCCTACAGCAGTACCTCGCTGTAGTAGAGACAACCTCGTTTTCTTCGACAGATAATTGCGCCGGTCGTACAGTGCATGTGGTGCGTCAAAACTCGCCACGTAGTAGGTGTGACTTACGAAATCGACGTCGAGAAAACTCGAAAAAATCCACGCACTTATTACACTTCCCCGATTCCTGGGACGTGTTTCATGTTGCTCCTCGCCGTTGCTCTTCTTCGATCCAACATCATGTATGTGCCGTCCAATGGTTGTGTGCTTTTTTTTTTTTTTTTGCGTGGGCGATGGGCGCGGTACCGCTCTCAGTTGAAGGAGTCGTCGATGAAGATCGATGGAGTGAAGGCGGGAATCTCGGTCAACGACAAGAAGATCAACAGCTTGCTCAAGATGATGGTCACCTCTTAATTAACAGAGACCCAAGAACAAAAGTCAACAGCTTGTTCAAGATAGGGGTTGTCTCACTTCATAGTCTTGAGGAGGAAGTGAACAGCAGTCAGTCGTCTCGATCGAATGAAGTGAAGCCTCCACCTTCTAGTACCCCTTCTAGAGATGGTGCTTGTGTTAGTGAGTTGGTGCAAGTGTAAGTGATATTGAAAACGTGAACCTCAAACAGGACGCAGAAATGAGTGTAGTGTGCGAAGCTCCTTTACAAATTTAGTGTTCGGGCAGTTTTGAGAATCACGCACAGTATTGTATCTATCATAACTGGACCTACGCCTTCACCTCGAGGGAAGGGGGAACCTCACTCGCTCACTCGCTTCTGGCCTAGTCTACATGTATGGTAGTTCATCAAGAGATCAAGGACAGCGTAGAGGGAGAGCCACATAGATCGTCGTGGCTATCGATGCGTGCGTAAGGTCGGTGGTTGATGACGTACCTTGAGCGGTGCTTCGATCCTTGTACGAGTGGGAGGTGGTGCGGCAGACTAGACATCGAAACGGCTTGCTTGTTTCCAAGGAGTCACTGTTGTGCAGCAAGCAGTCGTGCACGAGGGAAGGTAGTGCCTACCGTGTTCCAACAGTACTGCCAACGTGTTCAGGCGCGCCATGTGAATTTCGTTACTTGACTGTCAGCGAGTATTTGGTTGCCGACGGGTGCTGTCGTGTCGACTACTTGGGGCCACGAAAACAACCGCTTGTGTTGTGTTTTGCCTGATTTTCTCCAGACGTAACACATCCTTCGGCGGCGCTTGAGTTGGGGAATAAACGAAGTGACAGCATGACCCATCGCACTCGAGCATACCACGATGAACAAAACTCCGTTAGCGGTGGTGGCAACCAACCGTGTCACGTGAACCTAGGTTTAGTTCATCTTCAGCCTTCCTTAAAGCAGACGGACGGGCTTGCTTCATTTCGGTGCTTGACAGCACTACCTGGCCTGGTGAGGATGGGCTTGTCGTCACGTCTTCGTCATTCGTGTCGACAGGGACACCAGAAGATCGTTGGGATACAACCGCCACCAACCACGACACGCCGGAAGAGGGATGCTCACGTCGTGAGAACTACTGCCCCGGAAGCCAACGACGTTTCCGTGCCAGTTGTGTTGTGTCGTCAGGACAACCAATGGCTTCCACGGAAATTTCTTCTTCGACATTCTGCGGTATATCTACATATCTACGCTATCAGAGGCCCGTCGTATCATCTCATGTGCGGGCTTGTTCGAAAAAAAAAAGGGTTGATTTCGGCTTCAGTAGAGAAATTTGTTCTCGCCGAGACAAATATCAATCGGTTGGATCCGTGCTCGTAAAGTACATGTTGACTCGTTCAGCACCTGCGCCTGCGCCCAAGACGATACACCATGCCCCGGCCAAAGAAAAAAGGCAACAACGGGTACAACTACTCGAGCGTAAACAAACCAGACGAAACATAACAACTTTTCCGCACCACGGTCGTCCTCAAAACATAGCGAACAACATGCAAATCCTCGGGATGCGTTCAGGCTTGTGCCCTCCTTCGCAGCCTCAAGCCCTCTCCTATGAATATGAATACAGTCCTGCCCTATCCCGACACCCAAAGCTCACTGTGCCATGAATTGGCGACTGCTCACAAACTGTTGGAGGGCACCGATCTGCGCCCCCCCGCACGACATCAGAACTCGTCCGAAGGACAAGTGCAACCCATGAGGCATAAAAATACGCGACAACCTCGGCCATTCTCTATTTTAACCATTCAAATTCCAGCAGACATGACATGTTCCACGGAATCCCACCACACATGGCGACCCCCTATTTTACAAGTTGTGCTCGAAACGGCGGGGCCAAAAAAAAAAAAAACACACACACAACGAAAAAATCACGTGCTGCGGGAAACAGCCAGAAAATTGAAAACCATCCCGCATGACATAATTATCCCGCGAACTATTCCAACTACAAGACGACGGTGTGAGTCGTAATTTTTTCTTATTTTCATGAGGAAACGCCAGCGCGATCGATCGATCGCGCCGCCGAACCAGAAGATACATATCCTCTCCAGCAGGTTTCTATGCCAAGGCGTCGCCGGTAGCGCCACCAACCACCGCGGTCCCTCCGCCTTCCCCATCATCGCTGCCGCTGTCGTAGTCCCTAACCCCCATAATGAGCTGCATGCCACCCCCGTTGTCACCTTTATGCTGCAACAGCCCGTCGTCGGCCGCCACGACTCCGTAGCGGTCGGTCTTCCCCCCCGTCCAAAACGCCTCGGAAAAGGTTACCCACCTCACCGCCAAGGCGGCGCTGGCAGCGCCGAGGGCCCAGCCAGCAACCACGTCGTCCTGAGGGGTACAGTTCAGTGCACACAGGGTTTGGGGATCAAGTTGCCGGATGCACGCGGATTGGGTTGGATTGGGATGATGCCATGGGCAACAGCATCCCAATGTCAACGGCGATCTCAGCATGTATGTGCACGTTCTTCGCAAGAGCAAGCACGCCAGATTATGAGGAACACACCACGGACAACAAGGATAAGTTGCTCCTAAAAAAAAGAGAGTGCACTTTTCAAAGAGTGCATTTTTCAGCTGGGAATGTATGTACAGTAGTAGCACGCTCCACCTTCGAGTAGCACAAAACATGACCAACACTCCAAACGGCTGCTACACGGCAAAGGCGCCAAACAACGAACGAAGGGGAAGGTGCGCGGTTATTACAGTTACAGCCAATGACCGGAAGAGAGCATAAAAACGCAAGCAACAGACTCACCTGGAAGTGCCAGAAGTCGCGGATGCGGCTGACGCCCACATAGATCGAGATCAAGATGGGACAGATAGACAGGTACGCCTGTCACCGTCATGGGAGAGGGGAGCGGTACAAGTTGTTGTTGTTGTTGTTGTTGTTGTTGTTGTCTTCACATTAAAAACCGCTCTGTTCTCTCTGCCCAGTACCTTCTTCTGTCAGTACTAGTCTAACACTTGACGCGGTCGATTCCCGTGGTCACAGGCTAACTTACCCAAAAAAGGTACAAAAAAATAAAAAATGGAGCCGAAAGGGTCCGCAAGCCAATAGAAGTCAACGACAGATAGTCTAGGCCACTCCGCTCGCCTTTACACGCTATGCGAGGTAACCCTAGATTGGAAAAGTAAGAGAAAAAGGAAAAGGAAAAAGAAGAAGAAAAGGAAGAGGGAAGATGGAGAGAAGGGAGAGGGGAGGAAAAGTAGCCAGGGTTATTGACACCTCGGTTTCAAGCCGTCTTGCATCTTGACCAAGATACAAAGGGCTCAAACAACACTACTGAAGCGGTGGTCAAACACGACTCTTCAATCCTTGCAGGTCAACCGGAACAAAAAAAATAAAGTGCGGGTGTAGGGGGACATTTCACTTCTCTCTGTTAGCATCTACGGACGATTTTCTTTCTGGTTGTTGGTGCTCACACGGGCAGCCCGGAAAACAAGTGGTGCAGGTGAGGGTGGGCTGTTCTAGATATTCTCTCTTTAGGGGTCTACGGACGCAGCGTTTCAACAAGATTGCCCGGTGCGGTGGCCTTAGGAGCGGGGAAATGGTAATCGAGAGCGAAAAAAATCACGGGTGTACGTGAGGAAGAAAATTATTGGGCTGGCTGCTGCCACACCGATGTTTTAGCGGTTTGATGAGCGAGACTCAGTAGCACCATGGACCACAACCACAAGAAACATGGGGTGGTCTGTGTGCGATAGCTGGTCTGTGTGCGATAGTATGTACTAGTACTGTACCTGGTATATTCTCCAAGAAACGTGACACTCAACGGATACAACAGTCAACCAATGAAATCATTCGCACGGAGCCAGCCTACCAGGAGGGATCTTCTCCAGCTCTTGTTTTCCGCCGCAAAGCGAGAGAGGTCGCCCCAGCAAACGAGCGTAACGTAGAACATTCCCGCCATCGACATGGAAGAATGGCCAGAGGGGAAGCTTCTGATGCTCTTGGCCTGCACACGTACGGATACGGATACACGGGAGGGGGGCGAGAGGGAGCAGACACAAAGAGGGGGGGGGGGGGGGGGGGGGGAAGGGGGGGG